ACCACTGCTTTATGAATCCATGGAGCCAAAACATCCCAGCTAGGCCACTCTCAGATTCCTGACTCAGAAACTGTGTCTAAGTTGTTAAATTTTAGGGTACTTATTACATAGATAGTCATATTTTCTAAATATCCATGGATTACATGTACTGTTTTTAAAATTAAAGAAATAATATGACAATTAAAGATGCCTTATTTTATTTAGAGACAGGGTCTCACTGAGTTGCTTAGCACCTCACTTTTGCTGAGGCTGACTTTGAACTTGTGATCCTCCTACCTCAGCCTTCTGAGCTGCTGGGATTATAGGCATGTGCCACTGCACCTGGCTCTTCACATTATTTTTTTTTTAAATTTGCACTGTTCTTTTTAGATATGCATATACATGACAAGAGAGTGTATTTTGACATACATCCATATATATACATACATATATACATATATGTGTACATAAATGAAGTACAAATTCCCATTCTTGTGGTTGTACATGATATGGAATTACACTGGTGATATAGTCATATATGAACATAGGAAAGTTACATTTGATTCATTCTACTGTCTTTTGTATTTTCATCCCCCCTCCCTTCCCTTCATTACCCTTTCCCTAATCGAATGCCTTCTATTTTTCCCTTCCTGCTCTTATTGTGTGTTAGTATCCCATACAGACAAAAAATTTGGCTGTTTTTTTTGGGGGGGGGGACTGGCTTATTTCACTTAGCATAGTAGTCTCCAGGTCCGTCCATTTACTGCTAAATGCCATAATTTCATTCTTCTTTATGGCTGAGTAATATTCCATTGTGTATATATACCACAGTTTCTTCATCCATTCATCTGTTGAAGGGCATCTAGGATAGTTCCATAGCTTGGTTATTGTGAATTGAGCTGCTGTAAACATTGATGTGCCTGCATCACTGTAATATATTAATTTTAAGTCCTTTGGGTATATACCAAGGAGTGGGATAACTGGATCAAATGGTGGTTCCAATCCATGTTTCCTGAGGAATCTCCATACTGCTTTCCAGAGCGGTTGCACCAATTTTCAGTCCTACCAGCAATGTAAGAGTGTACCTTTATCTTCACATCCTTGCCAACATTTATTGTTATTTGTATTCTTGATAATTGCCATTCTGACTGTAGTGAGATGAAATCTCAGTGTAGTTTTGATTTGCATTTATCTAATTGCTAGAGATGTTGAACATTTTTTCATATATTTGATGATTGCTTGTATTTCTTTTTCTGTGAAGTCTGTTCAGTTCCTTAGCCCACTTATTGATTTGGTTATTTGTTTTTTTGGTGTTAAGTTTTTTGAGTTCTTTACATATCCTGGAGATTAATGCTCTGAGGTGCAGGTGGCAAAGATTTTCTCCCTTCACACTCTCGATTGTTTCCGTTGCTGTGAAGAAGCTTTCTAGTTTTATACCATCCCATTTGTTGATTTTTTTTTTTGTCTCCCTTCACCTCCTTTATAGTTCTCAAACACCAGAGGGAGAAGGGGCTTGGGTTTCCCTGGATCTGCTTAAGAACATCATGGCTTTTTGTTCCATATGGAAGGAGGTGGACACTAAGGACGACTTTGGTGAAGTCCCTGGGCTCTTATGGCATGGACGAGGCTGTGGTGTGAGGAGACACCTTTGGACGCTGTGAAGTCTTTGGCTGACATTAATCAGAGGAGGACGGTGTGCTTCCTCCTTCCACCAGCAGAAAGCGACTGTTGCATCTCGATTTCCACAATCCCCCCTCCCCCCATTCAGAGGTGCTGGCGGGGTGGGAAGGGGGATTCATGGTGTTGCGAGCACAGAAATAGTATGGGATTTCTGTGGTTGAGGCAAGATCGAGGAGGCCTGGAGCTGTGGCAGAGAGGATTATCTGTCTCTGCTGAGAGTCTGGTCAGCCCTGAGGAGTTTGGGATACCCGGTTTCATTGAGAGAAGACTGGGAGAGGGGAGGTTATGCAGCCCCAGGCAGCAGTTAAAGCAGTGGGAGGTGTTCCTTTTCCCGTCTGCCAAGGAGCCCCTTCCTCCCCGTTCGGAGCATGGGGTTTTGCAAACACTGCTGTCTTTCAAGGCATGTACACCACTCCCCTGTGGACCAGATTCCAGGATGGAACTGTTTACAGTGGAACCGGGGAAGATAGCCGATTTGGGGTCAGTTCCAGACCCCTCTCCCGGTCCCCAAATGAATGAAATTCCAGAAATCAGGCTTGTCTTTCCCAATTCCACCTCTCTGCCCTTCCTTTGCCCCCTCGCCCCTGGAGCCTCCTCCATCCAGGCGGTAGGGCTGAACAGTCTTCAGCATCTGTTGCAGATGGAAGAGCACGTCTATTTCCCAGGGCACCACACTGGCGCGGAAGGAGCTAGGCTCCGCCTTCGGTGCTTCCTGAATGAGGCAGTGCATAGGATAGCCGCGGTGCGGTAAGGCCACATCACCCACTCTCAGCCATCAGCCCCACGGGTCAGAGATCTTTTGCACCATCGACAACGTAGAAGAGGCGCTCGAACTGCACACCATTGCGGGCCCACTCGCGCAGGTAGTGGCTGAGCAACTTGTGCTTGTACATGTTGGCTGGGCAGCGCGTGCAGCTGTGCGTGTGGAAGGGTCTCAGCTTCAGGCCGGGACAGGTTGCTGAGGAAGAGGGCGGACAGACCCAGGGGGCCAGCGGCACGCAGGGAGCTCTCCACACCAACAGTGTTGACATCTGAGATGAGAATAACCTGGAAGCAGGAGCCCTGCTTAGCCACAAACTGCAGCAAGTCTCCCAAACCGCAGCAAGTCTCCCCAAACCCGGAGACAGGGGGATAGCGTGCAGGTCCCACAGCCGCAAATCCTGCTCACCCAGGTACTAGAAGACGCGCTGCCTGGACTCCTTGTAGAAACCCTCGCGGTGTGTGGCTCACCGGCTGTCGGGTAGCTGCTGGCTTGTTGGAGCTCACACGTTGGAGTCATCGTTGTTTTCGTCCACAATGGTCTCCTGAAGCCAACAAGGTCAGGAGGAAGCACGATGTGCCCTTTGCAGCCATCCCGCTGTCCCTAGTCAAACATCGGAGGCCAGCCATTGGAAGACACTCACTCATTGACAGTGCATAACCCTGAGCACCACCTCTAGGGACTCTGTTGGCCTCCAGACGTCCAGAGCTCCTCTGGCAGCTTTATCCTGAGGGATCAAATCCTTTGAGGGCACCAAAAGGGTCTTCAAAAGAGGGCAGGATCTCTGAGTTTCTCCCTTAGCGGGAATTGGAGGGGATGCTGTGTCTTAATCCATTCTCGGATTTCTGAGTTTTGTCATGAGTCCTTCCAATCCAGAGGAACCATGGATGATGTGCGTCTAAGCTGCGCCCAGGTTGCAGCCGTGCCCCCTTTAAAAGCCTGGGAACCAGAGCCAGAGCCTCGGTGCAGCCCTATTTGTTGATTTCTTGATTTTACTTTTTGCACTTTCGGAGTCTTTTTGGTTCCTAAGCGCCCTCCGCCCCCCACTTTGAAATTGTAGTTGGACACAATAACTTTATTTTATGTGTTTATTTTTCTGTGGTGCTGAGAATTGAACCCAGGGGCCTCAAACGTGTAGGTGAGTGCTCTACAGCTGAGCCACAAAACCAACCCCCCCAATTTTTTTTTTTTTTGTTTTTTGGTCTTACTAGGGATTGAACCCAAGGCCTTGTGCATACCAGGCAAGCACTCTACTAACTGAGCTATGTCCCTATCCCTCACATTCTTGTTTCCTTTGCTGTGAAGTTTTACAATTTGATGCCATTCCACTTATTGATTTTTGGTTTTATTTCTTGCACTTTAGGAGTCTTTTAAGGAATTTGATACCTGTGCCAATATGCTTGAGTGTTGGGTGGACATTTTCTTCTACCATTGGCAGAATTTCTGACATAATTCCTGGGTCTTTGATCCATTTTGAGTTGACTTTTTTGCAGGGCAAGAGAAGGGGATCTCACTCCAATTAGAATGGCAGCAATCCATAATGCAAACAATAGTGCTGGGGTTGTGGCTTAGTGGTAGAGTCTGGACTGGCATGAGGGGGTCACTGGGTTTTATGCTCAGCATGACATAAAAATAAAGTAAATGTACTGTGTCCATCAACAACTAAAGCAAAAATATTAAAAAAATAATACAAGCAATAATAAATGCTAGAGAGGATGTGGAGAAAGGAACACTTTTACAGTATTGGTGAGACTGAAAATTAGTGCATCTGCTGTGGAAATCAGTATGGAATTTCTTCAAAGACTAGGAATAGAACCACCATATGACCCACATATAGTACTCCTTGGTATTTATCCTGAAAAATTAAAGTCATCATATAAAAAACATCCCTCCCTATGTTTATAGCAGCACAATTCACAATGGCCAAACTATGGAACCACTATGTGTCCATCCGTGGGTGAATGGGTTTTTTAAATGCAGTATATGTACACAATGGAATCTTATTCATTCATGAAGACAAATTAAATTATGTCATTTGTAGGAAAATGAATTGAACTTAATAATTATATTAAGTGAAATAAGCCAAACCAAAAGTCAAGTGTTTTTTTCTTATTTGTGGAAGCTAGAGATGAAAATGGGAAAGAAAGGTGGGGGAGGGATCTCATGAAAATCAAAGGGAGATCACTAACTAGAGGAACAGGACCAGGGGAGGGAGAAGGAAAGGATAGGGGAAATATGGAGGCATAATCTTGGACAAATTACATTTTTATGTTTTGTGCATGTACAAATATGTAACAACAAATCCCACCAATATGTACAACAATAATAGTGCCAACAAAAATATAGAAAAAAATAAATAAAAATTTAAAAGATGCAATGGCACAGCAGTGAAGGTTATTTTCAAAGCATGAAGTGGATCCCCATTACATTTTCCCCACTGTCAGTTTCCACCTTCCCTTGCTATGGAAAAATCAATGATGACATCTCCAACCTGCTTTTTGCTGAAAATAGGTGTCAAAGGGGGTTGTAGAGTAGAAGTTTTTTTTACTTGTTGTCATTTATCTCTTTTGGACTTTTACAGAAGGGATAAAGAGGTGATTCCAACCTTTGTGGGGATCTGGAAGAAGCACTCAGGATGGCAGGTAATGTTTGAGTGATTGTTGTGCATACTGTTTTAATCTAGTTTCTTTTGCTATAGTCACATTTTCTACTCCTGCCTGCACCCCTGCCCCTGGGTGTCAGAAAGGATCTTTAATACACTATTTCTTTGTGCACTCTAAGTATAGCCTGCTTCTGAGTATACCCTTGTGGATGAAAGCAATTTGCAATATCTTATCCCACTCTAGGTGGATTTCTTGGCATAATTCAGCCACTATATTTTTAAGATGTGATTTATCTTTTCTGTTTTCCCTGTAGATTGTGGTCTCTAGGATGTATGTAACTTCCATTGAATATCCAATGTTTTGCTTACTTGTGGGTCATTTATATAATTAAAGATGGTCTGTTGTTACTCTCATTGATAAAGGGAGCTCATGCTCTAGGATAAGTTCCTTCAAGAAGACTCTAGTTGTTTCAGAAATCTTTTCTGCTCTGGTAGGATAAGCCTTAACCTGCACAGAGAAGGTTTCTACTAGTGTAAGCAAATATCTGATGTTTTCTCTGGCACAGAGCACTTGGGTAAAATCTACTTGTCAGCCATCAAAAGACTGTATTTTTACATATTGAGTCCCTTTTATAGTAGGCCACTTTTAGACTTTGGATTGTTCTTGTTGCATAAGACACCATTCTGAGTCACTTGCTGAACAGTCTGCTGGAGTTGTGACCCTTGAAAGTGGAGCTTGATTAAATTTGCCGAGGTATTCCTCCCATAATGAGCACTCTCATGGAGGTGTTTATCAAGACAAGAACATCACTTCAGGCAGGAGGATGAGCCCATGCAAATTTCTCTCCTCTTGGCAGTACTATTCCAGGATTCAAAACTTGAATCTTTGACCTTTTACCCTCCTCAGAATTAAAGGTTTCATTGGTCTGGTTCAAGCTGAGTAATTAGGGCTCTGATAAACAGTTTGTACTTCTAGAAAAGAAGTAGCTCTAAAACTTATTTGGAAAAACAAGGGACCCAGAATAGCCAGTGCAATCCTGAGCAAGTAGGCAGCACAATACCAGATCTCAAATTATACTACAGAGCCATAGAACACACATCATCATCATCATCATCATATATGAATACCTTCCTTTCTCACCTGCCTGATGAGATTCTTCCCACTGTGTGAGTCTAGCTCAGATACTGCTTCATGACACATTCACCATCCTCTCAGTCTGAGAGATGAAGTTCCTCATTCTGTTTGAATTGCTGTTGAAATTCTCTCATTACACTTTATGAACAACCAGAGACAGGAAAAATTGTTCTCTGTATGTGTACTATGAATTGAAATGCATTCTGATGTCATGTGTAACAAATTAGAATAAATGAATAAATTAAAAAAAGAAATTCTTTCTTTGCAAGTTTGTTACCTCTTTAGCATATAAGAATAATGTTTTCTTTTTATCTGCTTTCATTACTTTCCATACATCATTGTAGATGGTAAATGTTTATTAAATACTTGTTCAATTGGTGATTTCCCTGAAGAGGGAGTATAAATTATTAAATCATTTTTTTTCTTTTCTTTTACTCATTTTTTTATGTGAGTTGCTTATGGAGACATGACTTAAATATTTTTTATATTCTCTGGAATTATTACAGAAAACCTCATTTTTGTGCTCCTGAGTCAGTAAAGAAGGCCAAATAAGCAGCAATAAAGATAAATTTCACTTTGGTAATAGACTCTTTGAAATGAAGGTAAGGGACAGGAGATGGGAATAGGAAAGATGGCGGAATGAATTGGATATAACTTTCCTATGTTCATATATGAATACACGACCAGTGCTACATCATGTTCAACCACAAGAATAGGATCCTAATTAGAATGTTATTTCCACGTATGTATGATATGTCAAAATAGTCTACTGTCATGTATAATTTTAAAAAGAACAAATAAAAAAAGAAGAAAACAAAAAAGATTCTTTGATCATCATAAAAGCCACTGGCATTATACAATACATTATGATAAATTGGTAGCTTAAACCTCATTTAGTTATTACTGGCTAAGATCGCTTTTTTTCCCATGGTTATGTTTTTTTTTTTTTGCGGAAGATTTTAAATCAATTCATATTATTGCCTCTTGATTGTACATAACAAAAATATAGACCATTTGTGATATGAGTCATTCTCCCCATCAGTCATATATTCTCTTGAAAAATAGGAGGAAGAAGAGAACATTTTATTTACCTTGGGTCCTTAAGCCTGGGGATATAATAGGCTTATGATGGTTTTCACAGCCATTTTGTGGTCTACCACTTATTTCAGAAAATTTTCAGGGTTATCATTTTCAGTTATCTTTAGAAATATACAAGATATCCAGATAGCATATATTTTAAAAAAGTTCTAGTATATAAGTATTGCCTGCATCTGAATCAGTAGAAAATTAATTGTCAATGTTTTGCTCAATAATTAATGTTTTGCTCAATTAATCTACTGATAATATCATCTTATTAAACAAAATAGTGCATTTAGACCCACTATTTGTTTCTTTGTTTGCTTTTTGATATTTCTTTGTTCTTATGTGTGTTCTGCCCAGGCACCTGTGGTAGGGAAGAAAGATCACTGATTATTCTATGTGGAAGTTATATCTGACTGTAAGATAGCATGGGACCACTAGAGGGTATGCTCCCTCTAGTAACTCTCAGAATTGTAGGAACTGCTCATACTTCTGAGGAAGGTAAATGTTGAAAAAGAGAGAAAAATGAAGACTGTGGTGGTGAATTTTATCTATGGATTCTGAGCCAGTATGTATTCTAAAATTTGTTAAGAATGTAGGAAAGCAGCTGTTTGGGGAGGCAGAAAGTGAAATACAAAATGATACTTTCTTCAGACTAATACTTAAATATTTGAATGGCAACTACATTTATTAATAACATGCTCTCTGTCCCAGCTCCACCCCATAATAGATTATTATAATAAATAATAGATTACATGGTAAAGAGTAGTAATCAGGGACACAGATTTAGGAGGAGACATTGTCTCTGGTCTAAATTTGCTCTGTCATGTACTGGCTTTTAGACTTCAGACTAATTATTTACCCTTGTTCACCCCAGTTTCCTCATATGCAAAACAGTACCCACTTCATAGAGTTATTGTGATAATAAAATAAGTTAAATAATTAAAGTATTTATGATGTTTTTTTTTCTTGAAGCAATCAGCTTCACGATGGGTTCCCTCATTAACTGAAAAGTGAAAGTGCTTGGAATAGGACCTGGTACATGGTAAGTTCCTTGTAAATATCTGCTACTACTCCCTCCTTTGCTACTTCTAATGCTGCTTGAGTGGACTCTCTCATTCCTGCTGTCAGGGTGTTTAATGGGATGGTGTTAGGGCAAAGTGATGTGGTAGTAGAACTGAGGTAGGTGTCCCAGAGTGAGGAATGAAGTAGGAGAAACCAGCTGGTAGGGAGGAATGGAGTAAGGGATGATGGGAGACATGCTTTGGAGAGCTAGCTCCCTGGATGGGACTGAATGTATAAGAGTGTGCTGAAGACTTCATTCTCTCTTGTAATTCTGCACAGCCTCTATTTATAGCTTTATATTATATTACTTTTTGTGGAATTAAGAAACTCAGCTGGGCACAGTGGTGCACGCTTATAATTTCAGTGACTTGAGAGGCTGAGGCAGGAGGATTGCAAATTCAAAGCCACCTTCAGCAAAAAGGTGCTAATCAGCTTAGCAAGACCCTGTCTCAAAAAATAAGGGATGGGATGTGCTCAGGGGTAAAGAACCTCTGGGTTCAATCTCCAGTACAAAAACAAAAATCTCAAAATACAAAAAAAAAAAAAAAAACAAACCCAATTCAACTGCCTTTTCACCCTGTATTTTTTTGAGCAGAAGTCATATGCTAGATACTAATTAATTGTTATGTATAGATTGTCTCATTTATCTTCGCACAACCTCCTCCCCAAAGTAGATAATATGTTTTTTTTTTTTTAAATATCTTACAGATGAGGAACACAGACATAGAGAGGTTAAATAAAATTTTACCTAGTTGTATCTGTGGTGACACTAGTATCAAAGATAATGATTAATGAATTGATTGTGGCCTAATTCTACACCTCATTATGAATAAAGGAAAGCTAATACACACACACAATGATACAATGGAGTTTTATTCAGCATAAAGAAAAATGAAATTATTTCATTTGGAAGAAAATGAATGGATCTAAAGACCATATGTTGAGTGAAACAAATCAAACTCAGAAGGTCAAGAGTCTGTTTTCTCTTATATGTGGAAGACAGAGAGGAAAAAGGAAAAAAAAAGATGGGGTCCGACCTCATGAAAATCAAAGAGCAATCCGTAGAGGAAAGGGATCAAGGGGTGGGGGAAAATGCTGGGGGTGATATTGGCCAAATTTTATTGTTATATTATGTGCATGTAAGATTATGTAATAATAAATCCAATCATTATATAAAAAGAATTATATTTTAATAAATGTGTAAGTATACAAAATAATTAAGAATTTTATTTTAATAAATGCTAAAAGGGGAAGTTGTATATTTATCTTAATATCCCAGCCATACTGATTCAATGATATGCTGTTCTATTTTATGCATGCTCTGTCCTTTCTGTCCCAAATGACTGCACGTCTTAAATGTACCTTAAATGCTTTGTCATAGTTGCTGGAAATCTCATTGTTGTGCTTCTATTTAGGTTTCTATTTATCCACTGTAGAAACCGTATAATAATTTCCAGCAAAGACCAGTTCTTCCTCCTGTGTGTGCCACATACGTAGAATATAGTCTAGTATTGTGCCTTTCCCACTGTGTTGAACTTACCTCTTTACATGCCTGTTACTAAACCTTACACTTTCACAGTAAAAATCTTTTGTGTTTCTGTCCCTATCCCCTGATAGTGTTTGGTGCATGATAAAGCCTTAGTAAATAAAAACCAATGAGGGAAAATGGAAACACAGCAACTAGTGGTGAACAGAAAAGTGAGTACAGCTGAAACTCATATTGACTCATATTGTGATGTTTCATTTAATATAACAGTTAATCTAGATTTCAAAAGTTTTTACTTTCAGAATATTTAGGAAATTCAACTTAGTTGCTTGTTAGAATTTTGTAGAAGCATATTATGGGGAACATTGGGATTTGTAATGAGCATAGTAAATCA